GATGACGTCAAATGCGCGCTTTCGTCGAGCGCGATTTTGTCCTCCGCGATTTTGTGGTGGAACCGTTCTCGGTGGCTTCCCTGCCTGGTGCAGCCAAGGAGGCCCCTCTGCCCCCGTCCTGGGCTTCCTCTCTCCTGCCAGGATGAGCAGACCGGGGAGAGGCCAGGCCAGCTGAGCCAAGGCTGCCCTGACGGGATCAAGGCAGCCGTGGAAGGGCCACTTGCCTTCAGAGCCTGAGAGCTGAAGGGGGCCGAGCCTTTCTCTCTGCCCGCAGGGCAGCTGGGGGCCACTCCCGCTCTTCCCTCGGCGGCCTCCCCTTCCCGCCTCTCCAGGTCATTGCTGGCATCATCCCCGCCCCCCCTGTACCTGGCCCCCTCCCCTGCAGAACTGGGCGGGAGCAGCACCTGCAATCCGACTGCCGAAGGCCACGCCCACCGCGCAGAAGCTGTTGTTGGAGGCGGCCGCAATTTCCCCGGCGCAGCGTGTCCCGTGGTGGTTGCCGTTCTCCTCGTCCGGGTGGGGCATGGGGTCGGGGTCGTTGGAGTTCAGATCGTAGCTGCCTTCTGGGCTCTGGGGAGAGAGAGCGGCCTGAGACCCCTCCTCTCCTTGGCCCAGCACGGTCCTGCCCATGGCCTTCCAGCCCCAGGGGACGCCCAGCCGCCCTGGCCCATGGAATCCTCTGCCAAAGGGCATAGAACCACCCCCAGCAGCCCCCCCACGGCCATCCTGGGGCCAGGCCTTCTGGGGGGGGGGTACAGGGAGAACTTCCGGAGAGGCAACAGCAGCCCCTGACCCCCAGGCCAGAGACAGCTGCTTTATACACGGCCTCCCCCATGGACATGAACTGTGGCAAGGGGAGGGGGGGGAAGACTCACATAGTTGGGCTGGATGTCCTTGATGGTGTGTTCAACACCATCATCCACCACCACCACCGTCACCCCCTGGCCTGTCACATTCCGTTCCCACACGCCTGTCACGTTGATGTCCATCCCGGGGCTCTTGCGGTTGTCCTGGTTAGGAGAGAGCAAGCGTGGCCAGCAAGGGGGGGGGAAGCAGTATCCCCTGAGGCTCCTCTGTGGGGAGGGCCCCTCCCACCTCCCACCCTTTCCGCCTGCCCCCCTCCATGGGCTGGGACTCCCCGGCAAGCAGGGGCCGAAGGGGGCCGGAGGAAGGGAGGCGGCTCCTGGCCAGGCCTCTGCGTAGAGCCAAGGTGCAGGGCCAGAGCCCAGCCGCCCCCCACCTGCCTTCGCCTTCCCGGCGGATTCCCCAGCGCAGCCTCGGGGGTGGGGGTGTGTGCAGTGCGGGGCAGCGGCGGGCAGAGGAGGGGGGCTTACCAGGTGCCACTGCTGGGGGAACTTGGGGTCGTTGAAGTGCAGGGCGCGCTTGGAGCGCTTGAGGAGCCGCTGCGCCGCGTGCCACCCCACGCCCGCGTGCCCCGCCAACANTTGGTGTGTGAACACGCTGAACTCGATGCATCCAATAAACCTGCTTCTCTCACCTTCATGGTCTCAAGTCCTGCTCTTTCGTAAGTAGATTACTAACCACAATCTGCCGCAACAGAGGACAAGCGCTTCAGGACAAGGGGTGCAACCCCCACCCCCACCCCGGCCCTGCAGAAACTCTGCACCCCCCTTCTGCCCCATTGACAGCCTGGCAGACCAAGAGAGCGGAGGCTCCTTAGCCGCCTGGCCCTGCAGACGCTGAGGCCCCACCGAGCGCCACCCGTGCGCTGCCTCCCTGCCAGCCTCGGGCACCAAGCCCACCCACCCCTCCTGCCTTCCTTCTCACCTTTCCAAGCTGATGGGGGCCGTCCACTGTTTTGCCATCGTCGTCTGGGCCCCAGCTGAGAAGGGAGAGGCAGAGGGGGGGGGCAATGAAAGGCGCAGGGGGATCAGGGGCTCCCTGCCCCCACCCCAGAGAGAGAGGGAGGGGAGGACACGGGGAGTGACGCGGGGGGGGGGGCTGAGCAGGAGTTGGCTTTCCTCTGAGGCCTGCAGGGGGGGTTAGGGTGGCCCCCTCTCTCAGCTCAGCCCACCGTGCGGGGCTGCCATGGAGGGGAAAAAAGCGAAGGCAGGACAAACATAGAGACGCGGAACAGATGTTGGCGAAGGGAGGCCGTTCCTGCACACCTGCAGCTGTAGATGTCATTGATCTGGTAGTGCTTGTTGAAGGCCACGGCCTCCAGGCTGTCTGTGAGGGGCCCATCCAGCACCCGGATCCCTGCGGGGGAAGAGGCTGCCGGTTACTCCCCCTGCATGGGGGTGGGAGGGAGGGAGGGAGGGGAGGGGTCTCCAGCAAAAGCTTCTCTCCCTCCATTGTTCCCGGGGCTCTTCCGTTCCCCAAAGCAGCAAAGGGAGCACAGAACGTTTCTAGGGCAGCAACTCCTAGTAAAAACTCAAGAGAGGACTGGAGAAAAACCATTTTCTTTCATTTTAGTTACAACCAAATGCCCCGGAAGTTGCTACGTCTCCAGTTCTGGACTGACTAATCCCTCCCCCCTGCCCCTCCCCCCCCATTGGTGGCCAGTTCCGGGCTGGGCTGCTCAGGAGGTGTGAAGCCCCCCATCCCCCCCCC